TACTATAGACTATAAAAGATGAAAGAGAAATTGTAACAGTGAAACTTGCCAATCTTTTTAACAAATGCCTTCTTAACTATCATTCTGATGCATAAAAAGTGATAAAAAGGATCTAATAACCTACCGACCCATAAGCCTCATTTCAGTTACTAATTGTTCTCGAAAATCATCACTCGCATCTCTGACAGCCTAGATTCTAACCAGCTTAGAGAATAGGCAGGCTTTAGCACTGGATTCTCAGCAACAGACCTTATGCACACATTCACCCAAATAAGAGAAAAATTACAATTAACAGTATAAATAGAAGCTATTCGTAGAGAGGGAGTCGACGAGGTATATTATCAAATATTGGAAGACATATTCAAAGATGAGAGAGCAACCATCAAGCTCCACACGGAAACCAATAAAATACCAATTCAAAAGGTGTTAAGCAGAACAACACCATTCCATCATAACTGTTTACAGCCTGCCTTGAAGATATTCAAGAAATTAGAATAGAATGGAAAGGGTATCAAATGAGGAGACAAATACCTAAAAAATCTAAGATTTGCGGACAATATAGGTCTCATCTGTGAATATATAAATGAAATACATCAATTAATAAACGATGTAAATAGAAAAAGTCTAAAAGTCAGGCTTGGGATGAACAAGAAAAAGGCCATGTTCAGTAATAGAGTTCAATTTGAACAGATACATGTACAAGGCGAAGCTCTATAGGTGGTGGACAAGTATATATTTCGAGGGCAACTCGTACAGACAAACACATTTAGCGAAGCGGTAATAAAACGAGGCATCAAGTCTAGGCTGAAGCGCCTTTGGCAAACAAAGTAGCATATTGTCTTTATATTAGAAAAAAGAAGTATTTAACCAATGCATCCTCCCAGGTATGACCTATGAATCAGAAACATGTACTAAAACCAAATTCCTGGAGAGGAAACTAATAAGTGCCCAGAGAGGGATGGAGAGTTTGATGCTGGGAATTAGCATCGGATGAGGGAGACGTGGATCAAGAAACAGACAAATGTGGAAGATATACTTTGGAGCATCAAAAAGACAATTTGCAATAGGCAGCTCATATATGATGGAGACAGGCCGACTAGGCTATGGATAACATAAAGAGGCTAATGACCAGAAAAATGACGAGATGGCGTGAAGAATACCGAAATTTAAGGGCCAAGACAAACAAAAAACACAGGACGGACAATTTGAAAAAGATTGCGTCCTGCTTTAGAATGATTCAGGCTGCTGCTGCCTATATAAATATATTTGTACATATATACATATATATATATATATATATATATATATTCAAATGCATAAGCGTTTATATATATGTATATATATAAATATACATATATATATATATATATATATATATATATATATATATATATATATATATATCACAGAAAAAATAGATATACATATATATATCATAATATATATATACACAAACATTCATACCTATATATATATACATATTGTGTATGCGCGTGCGTGTGTGTGTATGTATGTGTATATATATATAATTATATATATATATATACATATATATATATTCAAATGCATATGTTTATATCTATATGTATATATAAATTTACATATGTGTATATATATATATCACAGAAAAACAGATATGCATATACGAATAACATATATATATATATATATATATTCAAATGCATATGTGTTTTTATATATATAAATATACATATATGTAAATATATATCACAGAAAAACATAACATATCATAGCGAGGTTTTACACACTCTCCCCGTGAGCACTCGGTGAAAATTGATTTAGAAATTCGAAACCGAAGTCAGATATCCTGAGGTATATATGAAAGATGGAATAATGCAATGCCGCATATCTAACTTCGGTTTCGAATTTCTAAATCAATTTCCACCGAGTGCCCACGGGGAGTGTGTGTAAAACCTCGCTATCATTACTCATGTATGAGTAGATAGGTAATGTCTATGGAGCTAGTTAGATCCTAGTTGCACACTCCTTTTAGTGGGTCGCGTGGCATGGTTGGTTTAGTACTGGCCCTCCGGTCTCATACCCGGAGTGACCTAGGTTCGAGGCCAGGTCAGGGAGGATTGTTATATATATATGCATACATATGTGTATATACATATACATATATATATGCATATATATACATACACACACATATATGTATGTATATATATATATATAAGTGTGTCTATGTAAATTATACATCTACACACACACATATATACATATATGTATATATATGTGTGTGTGTGCATGCAAATGATATATATATACATATATATATATACATATACATATTCTTATATACATTCATGTGTTTTTTTTTGTTTCCGTTTTAATAATATTAAAAATATTTCTATATCTTAAAACTGACACTATCTTATCGCTAAAGAAAGAGGGAAAATATACACGAGCACACATCACACCACCTTCGATAAGGCCTTTATAAGCGAATGAGCTCAGTGCTTCCTTGCCAGTCAGACAAGATGAAAGCGCTACTGCTGTTGACTCTTCTTGTGGCTGTCAGTGACTTTGCCAGGCAAGTTTTTTTTCGGCTTCTGACCCCTTGAATAAACAACACTGAAATACTTACAAACACTCAATACATGCATGTTTTTTTTTATTATTATTATATGGAAATTGACATATTTTTAATACACCTTTTTAATATTCACTCTCTCTCTCCCCCCCTCTCTCTTTATATATATATACACACACACACACATATATATACATATATATACATGTATATGTATATATATATGTATATATATATATATATGTATATATATACATATATGGATGTACATTCATACATACGTATCTATATATGTATATTATTATATATATGTATATATATTCATATATGTGTGTGTGTGTGCGCGCGCGTGTGTGTGTATTGAATATATAAATGTTTATGTGTGCGTGTGTGCATATACACACATATACATACATATATACACACATACACACATATATATATATATATATAGAGAGAGAGGGGGGGTATGTGTGTGTGTATGTCTATCTCTGTGAGCACTAAACATATTTTTGTGTTTGTTTTTATTTGAATTAATGCGTGTTTGCAGGGCCTCTGTGTTCCGCTGTCCTGGAGGATGCTCCTACAAGTGCCCCGTGATCGACTTCAGCACCTGTCCTTATGGAAAGGCACACGACGCGTGTAGTTGCTGCTTCGCGTGTGCCAAGGTGGGCCGTTGTCACTGATCCAACTTCCTTAAGGCTTTGGATCAGCGAATCTTTTTCTTGTTTTTTCTTGGGACCACTCAAATGAAGGGAAGGAAAAAACTGCGAATTCCCTAGGCCAGTGAAGTGAAAGCACTCCTGGAGATGAATTACCAGTCAATAATCTCTTTGAAGATTAGGAAATAATTGTCAATAAGTGTGATTTCTGTTTAGAATACGAGCATTGATAACAGTCACTATGAGAGTTTACTTCGCAGGTATTTCAAACAACTAATTTCATATCAAGTGAACTCCCATTAGCTAAAATAATCTAATCGCCGTTTTAACCTTTGCAGGGACCTGGAGAAATTTGCAATCCTAGATCATATGAATGCGCATCAAATATGTATTGTGCACATGCGTTTTGGAATGTGTATCGGTGTAAGGCGAAGTAACAAGACTGATACAGTTGTTTACTTAAAGGCCAGCACAACTGGCCTTTAAGATGCAGAAGCACAAGTGTTTCTGCATCGAACGCCTGTCTTTGTGCTCCTTATGGTTTAAAGAGACAAAAATCTGTGAAGATCAGAATAAAGTGCCCAATTTCACATTGTGATCTTTTTTAATCATCGAAAACTAAATCATTGAATAAATAAATAGACAATATAGAAAATTATGAAAATATATATAAGAATATCTACATGAAAGCACACACACACATATATACATATATATGTAGACAGATATACATAATTATATAGAATTACTATAGACTTTATAAAAAATGAAGGAGAAATTGTAACAGTGAAACTTGCCAATCTTTTAAACAAATGCCTTCTCAACTATTATAAAAAAAATACAATTAACAGTAGTTCTAGAAGCTATTCGTAGACAGGGAGTCGACGAGGTATATTATCAAATATTGGAAGACATATTCAAAGATGAGACAGCAACCATCAAGCTCCACACGGAACCCAATAAAATACCAATTCAAAAGGTGTTAAGCAGAACAACACCATTCCATCATAACTGTTTACAGCCTGCCTTGAAGATATTCAAGAAGTTAGAATAGAATGGAAAGGGTATCAAACGAGGAGACAAATACCTGCAAAATCTAAGATTTGCGGACAATATAGGTCTCATCTGTGAATCTATAAATGAAATACATCAATTAATAAATGATGTAAATAGAAAAAGTCTAAAAGTCAGGCCTGGGATGAACAAGAAAAAGGTCATGTTCAGTAATAGAGTTCAATTTGAATAGATACATGTACAAGGCGAAGCTCTATAGGTGGTGGACAAGTATATATTTCGAGGGCAACTCGTACAGACAAACACATTTAGCGAAGCGGGAATAAAACGAGGCATCAAGTCTAGGCTGAAGCGCCTTTGGCAAACAAAGTAGCATATTGTCATTATATTAAAACAAAAAAAGAAGTATTTAACCAATGCATCCTCCCAGGTATGACCTATGAATCAGAAACATGTACTAAAACCAAATTCCTGGAGAGGAAACTAATAAGTGCCCAGAGAGGGATGGAGAGTTTGATGCTGGGAATTAGCATCGGATGAGGGCGACGTGGATCAAGAAACAGACAAATGTGGAAGATATACTTTGGAGCATCAAAAAGACAATTTGCAATAGGCAGCTCATATATGATGGAGACAGGCCGACTAGGCTATGGATAACATAGAGAGGCTAATGACCAGAAAAATGACGAGATGGCGTGAAGAATACCGAAATTTGAGGGCCAAGACAAACAAAAAACACAGGACGGACAATTTGAAAAAGATTGCGTCCTCCTTTAGAATGATTCAGGCTGCTGCTGCCTATATAAATATATTTGTACATATATATATATATATATATATATATATATATATATATATTCAAATGCATAAGCGTTTATATATATATGTATATATATAAATATACATATATGTATATGTGTATACATATATATATATATATATATATATCACAGAAAAAAATAGATATACATATATATATCATAATATATATATACACAAACATTCATACCTATATATATATATATTGTATGCGCGTGCGTGTGTGTGTATGTATGTGTATATATATATATAATCATATATATATATATATATATATATATATATATATATATATATATATATATATATATATTCAAATGCATATATTTATATATATATGTATATATAAATTTACATATATGTTTATATATATATATATGTATATATAAATTTACATATGTGTATATATATATCACAGAAAAACAGATATGCATATACGAATAACATATATATATATATATATATATATATATATATATATATATATATATATATATATATATATATATATTCAAATGCATATGTGTTTTTATATATATAAATATACATATATGTAAATATATATCACAGAAAAACATAACATATCATAGCGAGGTTTTACACACACTCCCCGTGGGCACTCGGTGAAAATTGATTTAGAAATTCGAAACCGAAGTCAGATATCCTGAGGTATATATATGAAAGATGGAATAATGCAATGCCGCATATCTGACAATTTCCACCGAGTGCCCACGGGGAGTGTGTGTAAAACCTCGCTATCATTACTCATGTATGAGTAGATAGGTAATGTCTATGGAGCTAGTTAGATCCTAGTTGCACACTCCTTTTAGTGGGTCGCGTGGCATGGTTGGTTTAGTACTGGCCCTCCGGTCTCATACCCGGAGTGACCTAGGTTCGAGGCCAGGTCAGGGAGGATTGTTATATATATATGCATACATATGTGTATATACATATACATATATATATGCATATATATACATACACACACACATATATGTATGTATATATATATAAGTGTGTCTATGTAAATTATACATCTACACACACACATATATACATATATGTATATATATGTGTGTGTGTGCATGCAAATGATATATATATATATAGACATACATATTCTTATATACATTCATGTGTGTTTTTTTCCGTTTTATTAATGTTAAAAATATTTCTATATCTTAAAACTGACACTATCTTATCGCTAAAGAAAGAGGGAAAATATACACGAGCACACATCACACCACCTTCGATAAGGCCTTTATAAGCGAATGAGCTCAGTGCTTCCTTGCCAGTCAGACAAGATGAAAGCGCTACTGCTGTTGACTCTTCTTGTGGCTGTCAGTGACTTTGCCAGGCAAGTTTTTTTCGGCGTCTGACCCCTTGAAAAAACAACACTGAAATACTTACAAACACTCAATACATGCATGTTTTTTTATTATATGGAAATTGACATGTTTTTAATACGCCTTTTTAATATTCATTTTCTCTCTCCCTCTCTCTCTCTCTTCACATATATACATACATACCTACATACACACACATACACATATATATTTAGAGAGAGAGATAGATTAGATAGATAGAAAGATGTATACATATATATGTGTATATATGTGTATCTATATCTATCTATCTATCTATACATATAGATATACATATACATATATATATACATATATACATTATATATATAGAGAGAGAGAGAGAGATAGGGGGGGTGTATGTGTGTGTGTATGTCTATCTCTGTGAGCACTAAACATATTTTTGTGTTTATTTTTATTTGAATTAATGCGTGTTTGCAGGGCCTCTCTCTTCAAGTGTTCCGGATGCTCCGGCAAGTGCCCCGCGATCGACTTCAGCACCTGTCCTTATGGAAAGGCACATGACGCGTGCAGTTGCTGCTTCGCGTGTGCCAAGGTGGGCCGTTGTCACTGATCCAACTTCCTTAAGGCTTTGGATCAGCGAATCCTTTTCCCGTTTTTTCTTGGGATGTGAAGTGAAATCACTCCTGGAGATGAATTGTCAATCAATAATCTCTTTGAAGATTAGGAAATAATTGTCAATAAGTGTGGTTTCTGTTTAGAATACGAGCATTGATAACAGTCACTATGAGAGTTTACTTCGCAGGTACTTCAAACAACTAATTTCATATCAAGTGAACTCCCATTAGCTAAACTAATCTAACCGCCGTTTTAACCTTTGCAGGGACCTGGAGAAATTTGCAATCCTGAATCATATCAATGCGGACCAAATATGGATTGTGAACATGACTATTGGTATTGGTATCGGTGTAAGGCGAAGTAACAAGACTGATACAGTTGTTTACTTAAAGACCAGCACAACTTAATTGTCTAAAGTGTTTCTGCATCGAACGCCTGTCTTTGTGCTCCTTGTGGTCTGAAGAGACACCAATCTGTGAAGATCAGAATAAAGTGCCCAATTTCACATTGTGATCTTTTTTAATCATCGAAAACTAAATCATTGAATAAATAAATAGACAATATAGAAAATTATGAAAATATATATAAGAATATGTACATGAAAGCACACACACACATATATATACATATATATGTAAATAGATATACATAAATATATAGAAATACTATAGACCTTATAAAAGATGAAGGAGAAATTGTAACAGTGAAACTTGCCAATCTTTTTAACAAATGCCTTCTCAACTATTATAAAAAAAATACAATTAACAGTAGTTCTAGAAGCTATTCGTAGACAGGGAGTCGACGAGGTATATTATCAAATATTGGAAGACATATTCAAAGATGAGACAGCAACCATCAAGCTCCACACGGAAACCAATAAAATACCAATTCAAAAGGTGTTAAGCAGAGCAACACCATTCCATCATAACTGTTTACAGCCTGCCTTGAAGATATTCAAGAAGTTAGAATAGAATGGAAAGGGTATCAAATGAGGAGACAAATACCTAAAAAATCTAAGATTTGTGGACAATTTAGGTCTCATCTGTGAATCTGTAAATGAAATACAGCAATTGATAAACGATACAAATAGAAAAAGTCTAAAAGTCAGGCCTGGGATGAACAAGAAAAAGGTCATGTTCAGTAATAGAGTTCAATTTGAACAGATACATGTACAAGGCGAAGCTCTATAGGTGGTGGACAAGTATATATTTCGAGGGCAACTCGTACAGACAAACACATTTAGCGAAGCGGTAATAAAACGAGGCATCAAGTCTAGGCTGAAGCGCCTTTGGCAAACAAAGTAGCATATTGTCTTTATATTAGAAAAAAGAAGTATTTAACCAATGCATCCTCCCAGGTATGACCTATGAATCAGAAACATGTACTAAAACCAAATTCCTGGAGAGGAAACTAATAAGTGCCCAGAGAGGGATGGAGAGTTTGATGCTGGGAATTAGCATCGGATGAGGGCGACGTGGATCAGGAAACAGACGAAAGGGGAAGATATACTTTGGAGCATCAAAAAGACAATTTGCAATAGGCAGCTCATATATGATGGAGACAGGCCGACTAGGCTATGGATAACATAGAGAGGCTAATGACCAGAAAAATGACGAGATGGTGTGAAGAATACCGAAATTTGAGGGCCAAGACAAACAAAAAACACAGGACGGACAATTTGAAAAAGATTGCGTCCTGCTTTAGAATGATTCAGGCTGCTGCTGCCTATATAAATATATTTGTACACATATATATATATATATATATATATATATATATATATATACATATATATATATACATATATATTCAAATGCATAAGCGTTTATATATATATATATATGTATATATATAAATATACATATATGTATATATATATATATATATATATATATATATATATATATATCACAGAAAAAAATAGATATACATATATATATCATAATATATATATACACAAACATTCATACCTATATATATATACATATTGTGTATGCGCGTGCGTGTGTGTGTATGTGTATATATATATATAATCATATATATATATATATATATATATATATATATATATATATATATATATATATATTCAAATGCATATGTTTATATATATATGTATATATAAATTTACATATATGTTTATATATATATATGTATATATAAATTTCCATATGTATATATATATATCACAGAAAAACAGATATGCATATACGAATAACATATATATATATATATATATATATATATATATATATATATGTATATATATATATATATATATATTCAAATGCATATGTGTTTTTATATATATAAATATACATATATGTAAATATATATCACAGAAAAACATAACATATCATAGCGAGGTTTTACATACACTCCCCGTGGGCACTCGGTGAAAATTGATTTAGAAATTCGAAACCGAAGTCAGATATCCTGAGGTATATATATGAAAGATGGAATAATGCAATGCCGCATATCTGACAATTTCCACCGAGTGCCCACGGGGAGTGTGTGTAAAACCTCGCTATCATTACTCATGTATGAGTAGATAGGTAATGTCTATGGAGCTAGTTAGATCCTAGTTGCACACTCCTTTTAGTGGGTCGCGTGGCATGGTTGGTTTAGTACTGGCCCTCCGGTCTCATACCCGGAGTGACCTAGGTTCGAGGCCAGGTCAGGGAGGATTGTTATATATATATGCATACATATGTGTATATACATATACATATATATATGCATATATATACATACACACACACATATATGTATGTATATATATATAAGTGTGTCTATGTAAATTATACATCTACACACACACATATATACATATATGTATATATATGTGTGTGTGTGCATGCAAATGATATATATATATATACATATATATATATATAGACATATACATATTCTTATATACATTCATGTGTGTTTTTTTTTTTCGTTTTATTAATGTTAAAAATATTTCTATATCTTAAAACTGACACTATCTTATCGCTAAAGAAAGAGGGAAAATATACACGAGCACACATCACACCACCTTCGATAAGGCCTTTATAAGCGAATGAGCTCAGTGCTTCCTTGCCAGTCAGACAAGATGAAAGCGCTACTGCTGTTGACTCTTCTTGTGGCTGTCAGTGACTTTGCCAGGCAAGTTTTTTTCGGCGTCTGACCCCTTGAAAAAACAACACTGAAATACTTACAAACACTCAATACATGCATGTTTTTTTATTATATGGAAATTGACATGTTTTTAATACGCCTTTTTAATATTCATTTTCTCTCTCCCTCTCTCTCTCTCTTCACATATATACATACATACCTACATACACACACATACACATATATATTTAGAGAGAGAGATAGATTAGATAGATAGAAAGATGTATACATATATATGTGTATATATGTGTATCTATATCTATCTATCTATCTATACATATAGATATACATATACATATATATATACATATATACATTATATATATATATAGAGAGAGAGAGAGAGAGAAATAGGGGGGGGGGGAGTGTATGTGTGTGTGTATGTCTATCTCTGTGAGCACTAAACATATTTTTGTGTTTATTTTTATTTGAATTAATGCGTGTTTGCAGGGCTTCTCTCTTCAAGTGTTCCGGATGCTCCGGCAAGTGCCCCGCGATCGACTTCAGCACCTGTCCTTATGGAAAGGCACATGACGCGTGCAGTTGCTGCTTCGCGTGTGCCAAGGTGGGCCGTTGTCACTGATCCAACTTCCTTAAGGCTTTGGATCAGCGAATCCTTTTCCCGTTTTTTCTTGGGATGTGAAGTGAAATCACTCCTGGAGATGAATTGTCAATCAATAATCTCTTTGAAGATTAGGAAATAATTGTCAATAAGTGTGGTTTCTGTTTAGAATACGAGCATTGATAACAGTCACTATGAGAGTTTACTTCGCAGGTACTTCAAACAACTAATTTCATATCAAGTGAACTCCCATTAGCTAAACTAATCTAACCGCCGTTTTAACCTTTGCAGGGACCTGGAGAAATTTGCAATCCTGAATCATATCAATGCGGACCAAATATGGAGTGTGAACATGACTATTGGTATTGGTATCGGTGTAAGGCGAAGTAACAAGACTGATACAGTTGTTTACTTAAAGACCAGCACAACTTAATTGTCTAAAGTGTTTCTGCATCGAACGCCTGTCTTTGTGCTCCTTGTGGTCTGAAGAGACACCAATCTGTGAAGATCAGAATAAAGTGCCCAATTTCACATTGTGATCTTTTTTAATCATCGAAAACTAAATCATTGAATAAATAAATAGACAATATAGAAAATTATGAAAATATATATAAGAATATCTACATGAAAGCACGCACACACATATATACATATATATGTAGACAGATATACATAATTATATAGAATAACTATAGACTTTATAAAAGATGAAGGAGAAATTGTAACAGTGAAACTTGCCAATCTTTTTAACAAATGCCTTCTCAACTATTATAAAAAAAATACAATTAACAGTAGTTCTAGAAGCTATTCGTAGACAGGGAGTCGACGAGGTATATTATCAAATATTGGAAGACATTCAAAGATGAGACAGCAACCATCAAGCTCCAAACGGAAACCAATAAAATACCAATTAAAAAGGTGTTAAGCAGAGCAACACCATTCCATCATAACTGTTTACAGCCTGCATTGAAGATATTCAAGAAGTTAGAATAGAATGGAAAGGGTATCAAATGAGGAGACAAATACCTAAAAAATCTAAGATTTGTGGACAATTTAGGTCTCATCTGTGAATCTGTAAATGAAATACAGCAATTGATAAACGATACAAATAGAAAAAGTCTAAAAGTCAGGCCTGGGATGAACAAGAAAAAGGTCATGTTCAGTAATAGAGTTCAATTTGAACATATACATGTACAAGGCGAAGCTCTATAGGTGGTGGACAAGTATATATTTCGAGGGCAACTCGTACAGACAAACACATTTAGCGAAGCGGTAATAAAACGAAGCATCAAGTCTAGGCTGAAGCGCCTTTGGCAAACAAAGTAGCATATTGTCATTATATTAGAACAAAAAAGAAGTATTTAACCAATGCATCCTCCCAGGTATGACCTATGAATCAGAAACATGTACTAAAACCAAATTCCTGGAGAGGAAACTAATAAGTGCCCAGAGAGGGATGGAGAGTTTGATGCTGGGAATGAGCATCGGATGAGGGCAACGTCGATCAAAAAACAGACAAATGTGGAAGATATACTTTGGAGCATCAAAAAGACAATTTGCAATAGGCACCTCATATATGATGGAGACAGGCCGACTAGGCTATGAATAACATAAAGAGGCTAATGACCAGAAAAAATGACGAGATGGAGTGAAGAATACCGAAATTTAAGGGCCAAGACAAACAAAAAACACAGGACGGACAATTTGAAAAAGATTGCGTCCTGCTTTAGAATGATTCAGGCTGTTGCTGCCTATATAAATATATATGTACATATATACAT